TTTATAGCAACATAATAATATATAAAAATAAAAACAATTCGAATAAAAAATGAACTAATATATTTTGGCTGCATTATATTTTTTATATTTGTATTAATTTTAAAAACATATTAATTTTCTCAGAACTTTAAAGTTGTATATCCATTGAGCATGGGTAATCAGAATATACATATATATATGTACATATATTCTTGACGAGCCGAGTCGTCTGTCTRTCTAACTGTCCACATGAACTGGCGTGATCTCATCAGTATTTATTAGAGCTGTGGTCTACGTGATCGAACGTTATGAACAATGGTCCCACTGTGTATCGGTAGAAAAGGTTTCTGCCCAACAAAGACTACATCCGATCTGAATATTTTTCAATATTTACAAAGTGTATACGTTTGAGTAGCATAGATATTCATTGCTATATACTTTTCGTCGTAAATTCATAAGTTTCTAATTCCAACTCAAACTTCACTGTTCTTATTAGTTTGCACTGCTATTCATTTGTGCAATAGATTGATAAGATTGTGCTACCTGGGTATAATTCTAGGAAATCGGCAATACCTTCAGTGCTCAGCAGTCTGTCAAATCGAAAAGTTGACTCTTTGCTTCTCTTGTATAATTTCTATATGCTGTTGATTCTCTGATTACTCACGCAAAAGAAAATCAGATAGCCGAAATGCCAAACATATTTCAAGATAGCTCATTCGAAGAGGTACGTTTCAGTTGATCATAAAGCACAGTTCGGATTGAGCAAGAAATCTTACAGGTTGTAAACTACGGAGCCTTTGGAACGGCCGTTAGATTCAAATGGAATGTGAAGCCTTTAAATTCGGTCGCACTTGTACATAACGCATTTGATATTAATATAAGTGATACAGAATTGCTGCTTAGTCTCAATCATACGAATGTTGTCCAATATGCTAAAATTGGCCATGATCACCTACTACTGGAATATGCGGACTGTGGATCACTGCAGCAACTGCTGCATGGCGACGAGCAAAGGGAATATTCATTACGTAATGCCCTCGATTGGATGCATCAGGCAGCAAAGGTATTTCAACAGTTGCATTTGCCCATCTAACGCATTTCTCAATTCACATATTCTTAGGGTTTTAGGTACCTGCATCTATGGATTCATCCCACATCGACAAATTATAATTTGACGCCTAATTTTTTTATGTTAACGAATAACTATCGCCACTTAAAGATCCTTGTACTACCCAGTAAATGTAAGAAAAATTCACCGTTGGCAACTAACCGTAGATATCAAAGAATAGATTATACAGGCAGCACTGATATATGCAATATAGGTATCACCCTTTGGGAATTATTAACGCGTAAAAAGCCCTTTTACCACACTGATTACACAACGGATGAAATATTTGAGGCGGTGTTGAAAGGTATTTTAATTGATAATAGCATATATCATATTACTGTTATCATTGTTTACTTAGGAGAACGCCCGAAAATAAACAATATAAAAATATCAATCACCGACGACTTAAAGACATTGATTCAACACTGTTGGGACTCAAATCCATATAAGAGACCCTTTATTCAAGAGGTCATACATACGCTGAATTACATCCTGTGAGCGGAATATAAGCAATTAAAAGAAATGATCGTTAAAATCAACTATTTGATTGCAGCACACAAGAGGATTATACAGGCCTTGATCAACTATTAAAGGCTAATATCGGAGCAATTGTAGACTTTGAGGATATCAAGATCTGCAAGGTAATACTTAACATCTACATTGACATTTACTTTCTGATGCGATTGTATTGTTTTAAGATTTAATATCCTAAAGTCTCTATACAACATTTTTTTTATTCAGTTTAATCTGCATTACTTTTAATTCACAGAAAATCAGAGAAGATACCTTTGGTGTTTCCTACAAAGCTATGTGGTTTGGTAAGGAGAAAACTGTCAGAAAATTCAAGGACATCACCGATCAATGGCTTCAAAATCAATCATTTGTACAGGAAATAAGAAGGAATATTGAGCTAAATAATAAATACTTAGTACATATTTATGGCGTCTCAATAGGTAGCGAGTCAGTATATTTAATATCAGATTACTCAGATTGTGGAACTTTGCTCGATTATTTGCATGGTGAAGATCAGAGGAAATATTCGGTAACTCGTGCGATTAATTGGATTACAGATGCTGCCGAGGTATATTAATATAAATATAACATCTGATATCAAAGTTTGTATTGCTATCGAAATCATTTATCGATATATCATTTATATCGGAAAAGTATTTCAAAACGGAACAGTGATAAAGCAATATAAATATATATTTAATATTTCTCCTCTCTTCAATATTCTGTTATAGGGTGCTTACTTTCTCAACATAATAAGGCAATCAAATTATGTATTCATGAATTATATTTTATCGCCTCAAAATATGATTTTGTTTAAAAATTTCACACGGTTGAAAATCAGTGATTACTGTTGTCCTCTCGACGCTGAAATTATGTTGAAGTCCACTTCGGAAGTAGCCTATATAGCACCAGAGGTTGGTATATATTACAATCAGCTCCTAAATATATAAAATATATACATTTGCATGTACAAATCATTAGGTGCTTCGAACAAAAACATTTACATACCAGAGTGATGCATATAGCCTTGGAATTATCTTGTGGGAGGTTCTCGCACGGAAAAGGCCCTATTACACTTTCATGGATGTTCTTCCACAAAGCTTATTGAAAATGATTCAAGGTATGCAATTTTAGACCGCTTAGAAACTATTGTAATATTTAAACAGTTACAGGCATGCGTCCGGCTTTAAGTGATATAAGAAAATTGGAACTGGAGTCCATAGAAGAATTTATTGAACTTTGTTGGCATCAGGATGAACTGAAACGTCCAGATCCGTGTATTTGGTTTGTACATCTTGATAGACACTGGTGAGATCAGCGCTTGATTTACTCTTGATTTCAATTTTCAAATTATATAATAATATTATTTATATAGCACAGATACCAACCGTAACAAGATTATTGGATCTTACGAGCAGATCAATTATGAGGATATTGAATTTATTGAGGTGACAATTTGTCTGCTGCCTCATAAGTTTCTTGATGATTCTTTTCTGATTCTATAGGCTATTGGAAGTGGCAGTTTTGGCATAGTCTACAAAGCGAAATGGCTTCAGAATGATGTCGCTGTCAAAATATACAAAAATAGGAAAGATATAAATTTCCGACATGAGGCCAAACAGCTATCCCGAACTAACCATGAGAGTATTATTAAACTATATGGTATATGCGATCACAATGGCTCCGTATATTTAGTCATATCTTACGCAGAGTGCGGATCTCTCTATAACTATTTGCACGGAGACGAGCACAATGAGTATACCATGGCAAGGGCCTTAGACTGGATGAGTCAGTTTACTCAGGTTCAATCTTATTCAACATATGACAACATATCTACTCGGTTTTATGGTGCGCTTACTTCCATTTATAGGGTATTAATCACATACATTCCATGAAGCCAAGACCGCTGATTCATCGTGACTTAAAGAGTCAGAATCTACTACTAACCACAAATTATCAGAAATTGAAAATTGGAGATTTCGGCACTGTGACGGATCTGAGATCTCTGATGACGTGTGAGCGTGGCACTGCCGCTTATATAGCCCCAGAGGTTGTGCTAATCCCAATGTTCCATATAAATCGATTAATGAGACCTTAATACAAACACAGGTTCTCTTTGGAAACAAGTATACGGAGAAGTGCGACATTTATAGCTTTGGGACAGTTCTCTGGGAGGTGATGGCGCGCAGGAAGCCATTTCATCACATGGAGAATCCAAACGCATGTGCAATGATAAATCAAGCATCGAAGGGTGAACGGCCACCCTTAGATGATTTGATACCGCGTTGCGTGGAGCTACGGACTCTGATTGAAAATTGTTGGCATCAGGATCCAGAGAAGCGGCCCTCAGTGAAACAAATTAAACTTAATAATATTCCATGTGCTAATATTTCAATCAGAGCACTACGATAAATATTATTTACAGGCATAACATATCACTTGAATAAATCAAATTTGATAAAATAAACTTACAGTACGATTTCTTTAGAGTTATTTCTGCTCAATTCGCACAAAATGCAAACAGAAGTGCATAACGAAAGAGAGAGAGAGAGAGAGAGAGAAGGAGTGTGAGAGCGACAAGGAGAAGCCAGAGATTTTTCCCTTACACTTTGCAGTTGCATAGCATCAGTAAAAGGCTTTTTAATTAAAGCAAATAAACAGTGTTAATTAAAAATGCGCATACGCATAATTGAATTGTAACTGAATCAGCACTCATTCTGCCTCACACATACACACATATGCATATATGTTTCAATAAATGTCAAATATATATTGATATTTGCATCGCGTTGCGTGTTTCGATTGGCATTCATTATTAATATTTAATTGCAATTCGAGTACTGTTTATTGAAGTGTTTTTGCCATTTTACATGTTTATTGCATTTGTATTCGTCTGCCTCCACAGTGTCCGCTCTCACTTGAATACTTGCTCAGAAATATATTTCAATTAATTTGGCTGCTAATTTTATTACGATTATTAGTATTATTTTTTTCGTGTATCTAATTATGAGAGCAAAGCGCCAACTTAATTGAGATTTAATTAGTTTGCATTTTATTGTAAATATTTAATAATACTTGCTCGCTCATAAACATGGCCAAATTAATTGAAATCTACTCCAATTAATTGTTATGCGAGTCGAAAAAGAAAAAAAAATATATGGCATGGCCTAGGCTTAGTCGCTGCTGTTGTGTTAATTAGCAGTTGGCATTATGTATTTAATATTTAATGCAATCATATATAATATCCAATGAATTTTATGCGCTTAACTCCGAGCTCTTAATGCGAAAATTAAGATATTTATGCCGCCTGGCTGACTGAATGGCTGGCTGGCTGGCTGGTGTGCCTGGCTTTCCGTGGCATATTTCCAGGGGATTACCGCACGAAAATCCCCTGGCTTTTATTTTAATATAAACAAATTGGCTTTTCTTTGGGTTTACACAGTTATAACGTGTAAATATCTTAAGGAATATTTAAGTGAAAGAAAACTGCTTTTGGTTTTTCATTGAAGAGACAATTAAAACTTACTTTTATATTTCAGTAGACAAAGATATTCGGTGAGAAGTAGGTGTTTTGTACATTCCCAGCGTTCAATGTAGGCAGCTCTGCTAAAAAGTCAGAGTATATCCTAGTCGAGCATTTCTTGCCTCACATTACTTTCGCTAAGGGAAATCTTATCTACACAATATTCACTTCTTAGTTAATTCAAGTCTTTCTCTGCCAACACTCAATGCTCTCATCAACTTTTCTATAGCATTTCCTTATTTTCCACAAATTTTGCCCCTAATGCAAATTCAAGTACCGAGTGCAAATTCGCACAGCTAATGCACTAATTCTTCAGCTTCTCAAGGAAAACTAAGTTAAGTTAAATCAGTTTTGCCTTTCACACAAAACCCTTGACCGGGCCCCAGCCACTGTCAGCTCCAACTCAAGTTTTTCGCAAAAGCTTTTCGCACTTAAATGACTTTCTTTTCGCTGTGCTAAAAATGCTTGGCAAAGCTGAAATGCTATTAGCTGAGATTACTCGAGAGAGCGAGAGAGAGAGAGAGCAAAAGAGAGAGAGAGAGAGACAGTCAAAGTAGCGTGACGGCATATAGCAAAATTAATGAACTCAATGTGTCCAAAAAAGCAAGTTGAGATAAACTGAGAGACATAGGCAAGGAGAAAGGCAGAGAGAGAGAGAGAGAGAGAGAGAGAGAATATTAGATAAATGTAGAAAAGCTGACACAAAGCGCGAAAATTGGCAGATGGCCATAATGAAAATGAATGCGAAAATCTGACACTTTCACAAAAAGTTCATAAACTCGCTTAGAAATTAGTATCAAATAGGTCGGCTGTCAAGATGAAATCGGAGATTGATTGTGCAATTCATTAAAAATATATATATTATTACGAAATATATCAAATATCGAATAACACGCCCTTTTTATCTGTTTGCTATTCAGTTCATCGTCTAGCCAGTAAATTGGAGAAATATAAATATGTATTTATCAACAGTCCACAAATACCACAAAAACACATATATTTTAACTGAAGTCTTAATTACACCTGACCGCAGCAACAGGAATAAAAAAAGCAAATTGTAGCAAAAGCTCGACTATGGAATACCTTTACTGTAAAAAAGATTCTAAAAATTATTTTCTGTTAAAAAAAAAAGTACGTTTAAATATACAGGCAAGCAAGAAATATGTTTCTTTATTAATTTTACCATATATATTTTTTATTTTTATTTTTTAAGGTTGATACGAAATATTTTTTATTTTAAAAATACGCATTGTAGACTAATTTAAGTTTAATTTCATTTCATTTATTGAATTAATTCTGAAAACAATTTTTTGTTATTATAAATTTGGATCTTATTTATTTTTGTTTA